CTCTCCAGTCTACGGATCAGCTTATGGATGAACGGATAGTTCTGTTTGGGTGTCTGAATCCTGCCAGAATGGGAGGAAGATTCCCTCTCAGAGAAGGCTCTTCAGGGAACTGGGCTGAGGCATAACAAGATTTAGTAGCTGGAAGCTGAAGTGAGGAGGGTTCAGCATAGAAACATAATCAGATTTGTCTTGGGAAAAGTTCAGGAGCTACTGGTTTGCTGAAGGGAAGGAAACCTCCCCTGCAGTCTTTCAGTGAGCTTGTGGTTGTGCTTCAGCCCAAATACAGAGTGTGATTTACAGATTAATTGCTGAGTGAAACAGAACAGCCCTTCTTGTGCAAGACATAGGGTTGGGTTATAATGGCTTTCAAAAGACACGACTATGGCATGGGTGTGGAAAAATAAACCATCTGTTTTCTTACTTCTAGGTGTACCATTCCCAAAGAATTTCATGTCAGTGGCAAAGACAATTTTAAAGCGACTCTTCAGAGTTTATGCTCATATCTATCACCAGCACTTTGATCCAGTGATCCAGCTACAAGAAGAGGCACACCTCAACACTTCTTTCAAGCACTTTATATTTTTTGTTCAGGTAAGTGTGGCAGGAGTATCATGGCTACAGGTATATTGTGGAAAAAAGTGATGTTCTAAAGTAATGCCCCTTCAGTTTTGTAACAGCTGGTGTGTTTATAGGAGAATTGATATCTCCAGGACCCTAAGCTAGTGTCTTATCCCGTGTTTATGTGTATTTACTGGTAGAAGCATTCAAGGAATGTGAAAGTTCTCAGTTTGCTATAAAACTTAATACCAAAAAGTGTTCCCTATCAAATGATACAGTAGAACAGGAATTCCTAACAAAAGAAAGAGAGAGGATGGCATCAGAAGCCAGACTGAAAAGCTACAAAGCTTCAAAGTTACATTTCCCTTTCCCCATAGAAGAAAAAGAGCATCTTCTTAAATTTCCTTCCTCTAAGTGGGGGAAAAAAGCTTCAGGCAGTCAAGCACAGCTATTCAGGTAATGGCAGGCAGAAAATACTGCAGTAGTGAAGCCTCCTACCTCCTACTTCTGTCTGAGTAAGACTTCTCACCAGAGCTGCACGTATAAAACCCCGTATGTATGTCTTTCTCCCCATCCTTGTTGCAGGAATTCAACCTTATTGATAGAAGAGAACTTGCACCTCTTCAAGAACTGATTGAAAAACTCACCTCTAAGGACAGATAAAAGGAAAAGGATTTCTTGAAGTCACTTGTTTCTTTAAGCAAGCGTGTGGTATTTGGATTTTGTTCATTTGGTTTTTAAAAAAAACAAAACAACCCCCTGAGCTGTTACTTCAAACAGCCAAATCTACTTTCTCTGGTTTTATTAGGGGAAATCTTTTCTCTGTTAGTGACACGTGGTAAATAGCTTTTTTTAAAATTTTATTTTTCATCGTTGTTATTCAGTATGGAATTTTAGCAGGTGCTGAGTGTTTATAAGGGAAACATGCTTGGTTGGGGGATTGACTCTGCTGGTGGATGGGTTCTGTATTGTGTCAGTGGTAGCCCATTCTTATGAAGTCCCTAAAAGACTTGCTTACATTCTTTAAGTGCCTTGGCAGACTCACTTTTGAGGTGCAAAGCACATACAATACTGAACATTGCTGGAAACAGAAAATACAAACTAACACCCAGGACACTTACTTGTTTTAGGAAAAAAATATATATGCTTACACTAAAAAAAAAAGCCATAACTTGCTGAAATCAATGATCTCCAGCTTTTAATACAAATATCTGTCTTATTTTTTTAGAGATTAATATAGATTTTTTCAAAAGTAGATATTTCTTATAAAGAAAAGTGATGGTGAAGTTTTGGTCACTAAAGTGGAATGATGAAGGTGTGTCAAAATGACAAAGAACCTGTGCTTAGCAAGCAGTTACATGTCTGTTGCCATTGCTTTGGGCTTTTCATAGTTGCTTTTATTTTTTTAACAGGGAAGCATCAACTTGGGTGTGTCTCTTTGGTGAAGTTTCCTCACATTTGCCAAATGAACAGTTAGTTTGCACAAATATAGTTAGAGAAAATAGTTAATATTAAACAAAAAGTGCACTGGGGTAATAGTAAAGAAAGATCTGGCTTGAAAAATAATTAGTGAAATGATGTTTCTAAGTTAAGAATAAAAAGCCTGGTTAAGAATAAAAACCTGTAAGTTAGGAATAGAAAGCTCCATGGAGGAGCTCTGGTGGCCAGTGTTTTCTGTGGTAGCAAATGTATCTTGGAGGAAATGCAATTCCATGGACCACTTTGGATTTACATTGGCATGATGGTGTTCTGTTCCACTTAAAGTTGCAGCTCGTCTCCAAGGAAGAGCAGCAGTTGGGAAAAGTAATAGGAATGTATTGGTGAATTGTCAGTGCTTTGTCATTTGGTAAGTGCATCTCCTGGTTCTGAGAAAACCAAATCAAAACGTGGCCTTCCCCCACTGGGTTCATGTCTTTGCCTCTCCAGCCTTGTGTTTTCTCAAACGAGAAATGGAAATGGCCTGGGAGAAGTTGACCTCCAGGGTGATCCGCAGGCAGTGACTTGGGGATTACTGCTGCAGCTCTTACCATCAGTCAGGTTTCCCATTGCAGAAACCTGTATGAGTTGCTCTTGTTCATTTATGTATCTTGTCAAAGCCATTGTGTTTTGAATTCAGAGAAATCTGTGCTAGCTTCTTCAGTGTGCTCTCCAGTGGTGCCGCTGGTTGCCAGACAGAGTACATGAGGTGGTGTCAGTGGTGCCAGGCTTTGCCAGATTGTGTCTACACAAACCAGCAGTTTTAGACTTCAGTAACAAAGACCTTAACTGACTGGCTAGACTGACTTTGAACCTCTAAACTTTACAGGTGAAGCCACAGTAACTATGTGAGAGAAGTTGAACTTATATTTTGTACACCTTTGACTGAAAATGCTGAATAAAGGGGAAAGTCCTGTGCAACAGCCTGTGAAATATGCAAGTGGCCATGAGTACAGCCAGCTGACGAACGTCTAAGCACAGTAATAAACATATACTCATTTGGGAGAGTAGAATCACTACTTGTGTGTTAAGTGAAGTGATGTATTTCAGAAGGTTATTTTAAGAACTATGTTATCTTCAACAGTTAAATTCCTAGTCTCCTTAAACTGCTTCCTGGAGAAGCAGTTTAATGGTTTGTTACCTCTTCTGTCTTTCTATTCCTTCCTACCTGGACAGACATGAGAACAATTGAGAAAGCCCAGTACTGAGCTAGAAACTGGCATTGTGTGCTTGTTTCACTGCATTTAGGTTTGGCTACACTAGTGTCAGACAGCAAGGCTGCTTGCAAACCACCTGCAGTTCAGCATTTGTCATGAAGACAGCCCTTGGTTTCATTCAAGACTTCATTACAGTTCAAGAAGATGTAATGTGTTTGGCTCCTTGGCATATCAATGTCATTGCCCATTATAATCTCCTTAAAGGACAAGTGAAACGTTCAGTTGTCCTTACGTTAAGTTTTTTGATATCATACAGCATTACCAAGTTTTCTTAATACGCAGGTGTCAAAGGAAAGAGCTGTTATATGGTGGCTTCCTTGAGTGTTGGGATTGGATTGGGGTTGTCACAGTCCACACTGAGTCCAGCTGATGATGCAAAGACGGCTTTCCCTCAAATGTTTTAACGAAGTCCTAATTTAAAGAAGGCTGAGTAAGGTCTTACCCCTTCTTAGGCAGTGAGGATCTTGTCTCTCCTGTGTACAGGGCTCCAGTCATGAAGCAAGCTGAATTTAAGAGCATGCTTCTGTCTGAGGAGTGTTTAATGACTGCAATTTCCAGCTACAGAGACATGAAGAGTGGTGCAGATGCAGTTTGATAATAAAAAGCCCTGTAAATTTTCCTATGAAAACTGCTTTGCTGAGTTCAGTCAGTGCTGCTGGAGAGGCTGTGTGTGCATGTTCCCTGTGCTGATAGCACTTGAGAGGAGCCTTCTGACCCATGCTAGAGCTCAAGTTATCACAGCAAGACACAGGAGAATGGCAGAAGCCTGCTCCAAGGTGCTAAATTGGAGATAACCTCCATTAGATTTCAAACTCTCTCATTGGTTTGGTGTCATGTACAAGCAAAAAACTCGAAAGAAAAATATTTAGAAGTGTTAGGATTTTCTTGGAGTGATACCAGTGCAGTAGCTTTTATTTTTGGCATATTTCTGCCCTGGAAGGTGGGGTTTTTTTTTTCTTTTTTTTTTTTTTCTTTTAATAGCCAATTATAGACATTTAGAGGCATGTGGTGCAGTTCAGCCAGTCAGAATTAGAATTTCTTGTGCAAAAAATGAGTCTCACGTGGATAGTGTGTTCTTTGGATGTAGTATCTGGCAGTAGAAAACCCTGTTACAGACTAGCTCCTAGGCCTGTAATAAAAGCTTGGAGATCATGATTTGCCTGACAACTGTATGAACACATTGTTTAGTTATACAACAACACTTGAAAATAACAATATTGAAGACATGTATGCAGCATTTGGGATTTAGTATCCCTGTGCTGTTTATATTTGCAGCTTTTTGCTTCAAAAAGGTGTGGGACCAGAAGCTGATGCATGTTTACACTCTTGAAGCAAGGGCACATTGAAATGCTAAACAGAAGTTGCCATGATGTACAGACAGAGTCTGGGTGGAGTGAATGTGTTGATAAAATAGTGCATTTATTGGGGGGAAGCAGGAGGGCACCCTCTCGCCCCCCAAATAAACCCCAGAGAAACAAATCCTGAACAAACCCTGCGCTGCTCCAGGCCACGTTGAAGTGCACTCTGGTGTCATCAGACTAAAACTGAGCTTTGCTGTCACTGGAAGTGGAAAGTGCTGGTGGGGTTGAGCTGGGCTAGGCTGCCAGCACTGCCTTAGGCCTTCCCATGTAAATGGGTCCTTAAATCCTATGGTTTGTGGTGGTTTCCAGCCGCTGGCATCTCGGAGCACATCAGTGACTTGGGTGGTAACTTCAGGAGGTTCATCTACCTCGAGACGGGATGGGGCAGGCGCTGCCAAGCAGGTCAAGTTCAGCCACCGCTGCCAGTGATGGCACTGCTGAGGTGGTGTGGATACGTCACGTTCCAGTCTTTCAAGGCAGGGATTCGAGTTAATCATGCAAATAGAAAATAAACCCGCCATGTTCTGCTGTTGGCAGGTAGCTGAATGCTAGAGGAAGGGAGAAAACAGGTTTCCATGGGCAGGTGGCCCATCTGCAAGTATCAAGTTTCTTTTACTGCTTACTATGCAATGTAGAGCTTTGGACTTTTGCTTTTACTTTATGCTAGAGAGGAGCACTCTCCTTACTCGGTATTTAGGAATGGAATACTCTCCCAGTCTCCCTGACACGCACGTAACAGGTAAGGATACCTATTTGCTGCTATGGACTTTACTTACCTTCCAGATTTCTCACCTTCCCTTCCTTTCTCTGGAACCACCAGACACAATTTCACTCTAAACACATCCCTTTTGGATAGTTGTTCCTTTTCTCGCTGCCCTATCACCCTTCCTACCTGCTGGAGTGCTCTGTTACTGTATATAAACCACCCCCTTTCCACTGGACTATTAAAAAGCTGTGGCTTGAACACAGGCTCCTTGCTTCCCTTTCACTAAAAGATTCCCTGTTATGCCAGGTCCGGTTTCCTTCCCTGCTGATACCAGTTGTTTTTTTCCAAGCTGCACTATTAAAACCGCTAGCAGTTTTATGGATGCCCTCGTCATTCCCTGGTATCTTCTCCTCTAGGATGAGACTAACATTGGTTATTTTAAGTGTTAAACCTTTTGATTTTCCTGCTTTCCAACTCCCTAAAGTGTTCATAGAGTATTGTATTTTTAGGGGAAATTAATTTTTATAGCCACTAAACTATACTCATTATTTTTGTACATTTACAACTTGGAACGTTTTGCAGAGACGTGTTGCGGGGGGAACGCTTATTTCCAAGGCTTGTGGCACTACTTGACTACACTGTGGTGGTGTTACTTAATACCTAGAGGCACATGCCTTGATGTGCCACACAAGAGAGAAAAGGCAATAAAGTGAAGGAGGTTTCAATAAAAGGCTGTTTTTGAAGGCAAAAAGAAATTGGAGATGGTGAAAGCAACACTAACCTTTTCTCCTCCTTTAGAATCCTGATATATATGGGATAGAATGTGTTGTAAAATACAGAGTGCAAGATGAGAACCCTTACTGTGAGCTAACTGTGCCAATACCGCTTCCACTGGTAGTCACTGATCAATATTGTAGTTTTAAAGAAGAACAGCTTTTAATTACAAAGGAAAAAAGTTGAATGTCTGAAAATCTGCACCATGTTTATTTGAGAGTTGTAAATATTGTATACAGATTGTTGTATGTGATGGGACAGAATATTTAAATTCTAGGTTTTTTTCAATGAGAAGCTGAAGGCTGTTTATAAGAGAAAATAAATAGCTACGTTTGACCATGATTGTCTTGATTTCCTTCTTGAACCTCTTTCTAAATTATCTTCTCCTTGTAGATAGCTGGTTTTTTTTTCCCTGTATATTGTCAACGTATGAACATTATTACACCTAAAACCAGATTTTTCTAATTGCCTTGTTGGAATCTGTGAATGTTTGTACTGCAGGCAGACACCATAGCAATAAACCAACCTGAGACCCTTTTCAATGCCGTGTTTCATGACCTGAGTCGACCCAGAGTGGATGGACTTGGTCTCGGATGCTGGATCACGGGTTTGGCGTGGCTTTGCCTGCAC